CGGTCAGCACTAGTAGGCAATGCATACATGGCAGTGAGAATAGCATCATAGTCAAGAGCAAAGATATCTACCCTCTTCCTAAGCAACTCCACCCAGTCGGGGAGCTCAGCCTCGTCGCCAAACTCGGTACGCCAGGCGTCGCTCAGACGGGCGAAGCAGCGGGACTGTGTGTGACTAGGAGTCCCACAAGGCTGGCCAGTCCGAGCACCAGTGCGAATCACGTAAGAGCAGCGAACAGAACTGAGAGACCCTCTACTCTGAGCGTACCACTCACGAAGCTGCTGGGGCGTGAGAGACGCGCGCGGGCGACGCTGGAGCTGCATCTGGCCGCCGCCAGTAGTAGTAGCAGCAGTAGTGGTAGCAGCAGCAGCTCCGCCACCCCTACAACCCCAGCCAGCGTACCACTCACGCAGCTGCTGGGGCGTGAGGGACTCACGCGAACGGCGCTGGGGCTGCATTTGGCTCCGCCAGTAGAGGCAGGAGCAGGAGTAGCAGCAGTAAGGCAGGCAGCTAGGCAGGTCGAAAAGGCAGGCAGGCAGGCAAGCAGGCAGCGCTAGCAGGGCAGGGGCTCACCAGCAGTGGGAAGAGCAGGCTCGGCGGCTCGGTGACCCGGCGGTGCGGGCGGCTCGGCGGCAACTGCGGCTCCGCGGCTCGGCGGCTCGGGCGGCGACTGCGGCTCGGCGGCAACTGCGGCTCGGCGGCTCGGCGGCTTGGCTGCGGCTCGGCGGCAACTGCGGCTCTGCGACTCGGCGAATCGGCGGTGCGGGCGGCTCGGGCGGCTCGGCGGCAACTGCGGCTTTGCGGCACCCGCGGCTCGGCTCCTCAGCTACTCAGGTGGCTCGGATAGCGTAGGGCGGCGGGGCCGCAGCGAAGGGGCGGCGGGGCCGCAGGGAAGGGGCGGCAGGGCCGCAGTGAAGGGCGGCGGGGCCGCAGTGAAGGGCGGCGGGGCCGCAGCGAAGGGTGGCGGGGCCGCAGCGAAGGGGCGGCGGGGCCGCAGCGAAGGGCGGCGTGGCCACAGTGCAGGGCGGCGGGGCCGCAGCGTAGGGCGGCGGGGCCTCAGCGAAGGGGCGGCGGGGCCGCAGCGAAGGGCGGCGGGGCCGCAGCGAAGGGCGGCGGGGCCGCAGTGAAGGGGCGGCGGTGCCGCAGCGAAGGGCGGCGGGGCCACAGTGAAGGGCGGCGGGGCCGCAGCGAAGGGCGGTGGGGCCGCAGCGAAGGGTTGCGGGGCCGCAGCGAAGGGCGGCGGGGCCGCAGCGAAGGGGCGGCGGGGCCGCAGCGAAGGGCGCCGGGGCCGCAGCGAAGGGGCGGCGGGGCCGCAGCGAAGGGCGGCGGGGCCGCAGCGAAGGGGCGGCGGGGCCGCAGCGAAGGGCGGCGGGGCCGCAGCGAAGGGGCGGCGGGGCCGCAGCGAAGGGCGGCGGGGCCGCAGCGTAGGGCGGCGGGGCCGCAGCGAAGGGGCGGCGGGGCCGCAGCAAAGGGCGGCGGGGCCGCAGCGAAGGGCGGCAAGGCCGCAGTGAAGGGGCGGCGGGACCGCAGCGAAGGGCGGCGGGGCCGCAGCGCAGGGCGGCGGGGCCGCAGCGAAGGGAAGGGGCGGGGCCGCAGTGAAGGGTTGCGGGGCCGCAGCGAAGGGGCGGCGGGGCCGCAGCGAAGGGCGGCGGGGCCGCAGCGAAGGGGCGGCGGGGCCGCAGCGAAGGGCGGCGGGGCCGCAGCGTAGGGCGGCGGGGGCGCAGCGAAGGGGCGGCGGGTCCGCAGCGAAGGGCGGTGGGGCCGCGACGAGAGGGCGGCGGGGCCGCGTAGGTGAGGGCGGTGGGGCCGCGACGAGAGGGCGGCAGGGCCGTGTAGGTAAGGGCGCCCCTCGAGGCGCGCGCCAGAAAGCAAATCGCCGCGCGCAAAATAGGTCGCACGCCACGGGGCGTGCGACAGATCGAGTAGCAGCGAAAGCAGTAGTAGGACCCTAGGAACAGTTCCCACGAGGGAACCTGCTCGATACCATGAGAAAGTTAGAACGAGAAAGTGGCATGACTATGAACGAAGTGAGTACAAATAGGAAACCCTAATTGGGTTGTACCCCCTATGGGATACCCCACTATAGCCTACACAAATAAGTAAGCTATAATGTTCTGACACTCGGTCGGTCCCCGAGGGCGATGTCCGTAATAGGACCCCGGTCTCGGTCGGCGTAGAATGTCGATCTTCTCGGCGAGCGCAAGAATCTCGTTGAAATTAGAGAGTCCGCGCTGCATTATTTCGTGCGAGATATCCGGCTTCAGCCCTCCGACGTAACGGTCCACCCGCTCCGCTTCGTGCATGTAGCCGACCTGCTCGCAAAGTGCGAGAAAACCGCTTGTATAATCTTGAACTGACCCGAGCTGGCGCCAAGTGCGCAATCTCTGACGCGCCGAAATTGAAGCCGCGATCGGCTCAAAACACGTCCGAAGCCCTGCGCACCACGCATCCCACGTGCTGTATTGGGCGATCTCGCAGGACGAACTCCAGGTGACAGCTGGACCCGTGGGCCCTTCCTCGTGCGACGGTGGCTCGTAGGCGCGTGGCGACGTCACGATGACTCGCCACCAGTCCATGGCGGGGCCCTTTAGCAATGAAACTGCATACCGGATCTTCGCGGCGTCCGACTCGACGTAATTTGCGTCGAAGAAGACGTTCATCGTGAAGACCCACGATTGAACCGTCGGACCGCCGCGTTGGCTTGGGTCGAAGCAGGGCGGGCGTTGCGGCTTGAGCGGCATTGGTGCCATGATGGCGTGTTCGCCACTTGTCGCCGCAAATTCCACGTGCCGACGGGCTTCTCGGGGCTCCCGTGGGCTTGGTGCGATCCTGTTTCCTCCCATGCCAGGCATCGGCTGGGCGGCGCCATCACTGGCTGCGCCTGAGCGTTGTCCCATGTTGTCGTGTTGTGTTGGTGTGCCGGACGAGATGACGATCGGCTCATCCGAATGTGCAGATGCATTTGTCGGTGCGTGTGATGTCGTCGGTATGTTCACCGTGGACTGTTGACGGGCGGAGTCACGTTCCGCCGTGAGGGTCGCGATTTCAAGCGCCGAATCCTCCAGTTGACGCACGAGACGATCAAGTTGCTCCTGCGTCAATGTGGCGAGCGTGAAGTCGGCCATGGCGGGGGTGTCGGGCGAGCTCAGCGAGAGCCTCGGTCGTGGCCGTGCGTGCTTGCGAGAGAGCACTACGAGCGGCGGTGCTGTATCGCTGAGAGACGTCTACCCCCCCCAAAAAATTGAGATATTGGGGAAGCGAAGGTGTGGATGCGGTCCGAGATGAGATCGTAGGCTCTGAATACCAAGTGTTACGAGTGCAATTGAGTGAGCGAACGAGAATTGCACTATCGAAGCAAGAATACAATGAGCGAAGGCATGAGCGAAAAATATATAGCGAAACTACAGTGGTAACGGTAATGGTCTGTGGTAGTCGCGCGACGAGCCTGGGACTGAGGTTTGGGAAAGTGTCGAAGCGTAGGCCCGGAGCGCGGGTTACCAGCCGAGCCGTGAGGTCGGGATGCGATGTGCGAAAATGGCGGGATGATTATCGATGCGATGGTCGCGAGTGGTAACGGTGCTGACTGAGGTGCTACAGTGATGTACGCGTTGAGCAGGGATGCGAAGTAAGGAAAAGGGATTTTCCTTACAAGAGGATTCATATACATAGCGAAGTCGATCATATGTGCTTTCCAGTCGATCATATATCACTGTGGATGCGTTCGTTCGCGAGCCCTCGCTCATTCGCTAGTCACGTCCAAGGCGTGTTCTCTCGCCCGTTGCACTTTTCCGCCAACACCCGCGACAATATCGAGGGCCGACCAACCTGTTGTGCTTCCTGCTTGTGTGGGACCCAACGTTTCTTCGTAAAACATTACTCAAGAGTATGTGACCGCTCTGGAACGCGAAGAAACTTGCTGAACCCGAATCAAACGCAACATGCGCAGCTCTGCTTGCGCACACAATTCCAACCTCCCCCCTCTTATTTTCACACATCCACATTGGTGATACTGCTAGTCTTTGCGGGTCTGTTGGTCCTCACTGCCGTCCTCGTCTCCTAGCCCTGGCATCCTTAGTTATTCGTACGAAGACGTGTCGTGTTTTTTCTGATGCGACGCGGGGCTAGGTGTCTGTAGGTGCGGAGTCGTTTCTCGCCTGCGCGGAACGAGTCGCAGTGAGAGCGGCGGTGCACCATGTGGGCGATCTGGGGAAAACAGCGAGAGCGCTTCTCGCTCGAGGAGTTGAAGTAAGAGTCGTCGTTTCTAGCTTGTAGAAAGATTAGGAAGCGAGGCGGTCGATGTGCCTTCAAATACAGCTTCTTACGAATTTACCTACAGCTTCTGGTCTGTTCACTTAGCTGTTTGCTTATTCAACTGATTTCCGGGCCTCTTCACTTCGTTACTTATTGTCTCCTCAGGCATCTCAACGACGTGCTTCAGAAACACACAATCATCAGCGATGCGAACAAGGTTCGTTCGAAAATGTCGTGATACGAGCATCTTAACGTACTTTACAACCCTATTTTACCGTACTTTGTAGACTCAAGCCTTGTTCGAAAGCGTCTCGCTCACGGTGATTCTGTCCGAAGAGTTCATAGAGAAGAGTATTGCTTCTGTGTTTCCGATTTGTCCATGGTTTACCTCCTCGCTTCTTGATCCTTCTCGCTAGAGCTGTTCCTGTTCGCATTTTGGTTCCATCAGGACACTGTAGTGGAGACGTTGAGGTCTATAGCGGAGCTGATGATATGGGGGGACCAGCATGAGCCTGCATTTTTCGAGTAAGTTCAGGAGAGAATAGTATTGGTGGTATCGCGTTTCTGATCCCATTCCTTCAGTTTATAAACATTTGTCTGGTTGCGAACCCGCGCCTGCTTCCCGGAGATTCTTCCTGGAGCAGGGTGTATTCGTGGTCTCACTCCCAACCTTGCCTCCGCCCACCCGCTCACATGCTGCTTGCAGGTTCTTTGTGGAGCAGGGCGTATTCGCGCAGTTCATCCGCATCATGGCGCTGGCCAATCAGCCGTCGCCTCAGTGCGAGGGGGTCATGGTGCAGCTGCTGCAGACGCTCAACCTCATGATTCAGAACCTCAAGAGCGAAAAGGCCATCTGTGAGTGTGTTCGTCACTGCATCCTCCACTGCCCCACATACACTGCCCTTGTTGGCTCTTGCTGTCAGGCTACCTCCCCAGCCCCCAGCGCATTGGCAATGCCACATGATTCCCTAACCTAACTTCCCCACCCTGACTGCATTCTCAGCAAGGAGCACCTAATCAACACCATCGGCCTCCGTCCCCTTCCATCCCCTCCCACTCCTTTTCCCTCCCTCGCCCCCCCTCCCCCCCCCACCCCCAACCCCACCCCCTTCCCTTTCTTCCTCGCACACTGCATACCTCGCGATTGCATGTATAGCAAGGAGCACAATTTCTAGACCACTTCAGCACTCCCCATCTCGTCTACACCCCATTGCCCCACCATTTCCACTTCCTCTCTCACCTGCTCACCCAACAACGCCGTTGATGCCGTCATCAATTTGCTCCCATGGCCCATGGCATCAAGGAGCGCATCGTGGTTGCCATCAACCTCCCAACCCCTTGGCCCCCGTCACTCCCCCATCACCACTCTACACCCAACCAACACCATGGCCCCCCTGGCAGACTACATGTTCAGCAAGGAGCACATCAACAACGTCATCTCCTTTATTCCACCTCGAACCCCTCGAAGCCCTTTCACACCCCCCACCTCCCCATCTTTTTCACATCCTCTCTCTTCCTTCCCACCACACCCAACACTGGCCTGGCAGACTACATGTTTCAGCAAGGAGCACATCAACAACGTCATCTCCTTCCCCTTTGATTTCTCCGATGAGGAGCTGCTCGCATACTACATCTCCTTCCTCAAGTGAGCCACCGCCTCTTGTGTGCTTCCCCACCACCATGTCTTCTTCTCCAATCCACGATCCCTTCGTCTCATTTGAAGAGCTTACTCCTTGGCCTGGATTTGTTTGTACCACATCCTTCATGTTCCTTCAACTCTCTTGCCAAGAAATTAATGGTCCCAGTAAATCACTGCGCTTCATCTGCTTACTGTCAGACTTGTATCATGCCCATGTGCGCATGCGCATGCACATGCACATGCCTTCCGAGTCAAGCATAAAAGCGCATATGCACATGCATGTGCTGCTGTTATTGCTGCTGCTGCTGCTGCTGCTAATTGCTGTCCCTCATACCGGCACGTGGTGCACGTGTCTGTCTGTCTGTCCGCATGCCCCCCCTTCCTCCCACTGCAGAACGCTGAGCATGAAGCTGGACAAGTCTACCATCTCCTACTTCATCGTGGAAAAGGAGGTGCGCCACACACTCACACAGCCACACTGTACCAAACCGAACCAGTAACAGTAGCAATAGCACTAGAAGTGTGTTCGTGTTTCGGCTTTACCACTGGACTAAGCAACGTGTACATACTGCATGGATGAATGCAGGATGGCAGCAGCGCCTTCCCCCTGTACGTGGAGGCAATCCGCTTCTTCCACCACGAGGAGAGCATGGTCCGCATCGCCGTGCGCACGCTCACCCTCACCATCTACAATGGTATGTGAACCCTCTCCCTCCTCCATTTGTTCTTTCCTTGCATGAAATCCTCCCTCCAACATGTCACTTCCCCGTCCAACCATAATACCATACGTTGCCACTGCCACTCCCCATCCGTCCCCTGCCACCCATCCTCCGCACCCACCTTGCCATCCCCACCAGCGCATGACTCGCACTGTGCTGTGTCGGGTTCTTCACATCGCCCTTTCCTCCAAACCACTTCCTCCCCTCCTTCCCTCCCCTCCCCGCCCTTCATCCTCTCCCCACCAGTGCATGACGAGCGGGCCAACCGCTTTGTGCTGAGCCCATCAGCCATCCGGTACTTTGAGGACCTGGCCATTTTCGTGCGCCAGCAGAGCTTCACTCTTGCTCGCCTTGTTGCCAACGCTGTCAGGTGGGTGGGTGGGTGGGTGGTTACAAGTTGACATGGTTGGATGAGTGACTGAATAGGTGGGGTGGGGTGGATGTGCAGGTGGGCATGGACATGGGCAGCCAGCCATCAGCAACGCTTCACGCTGGCCCCGCCTCGTCGCCAGTGCTGTCAGGTGGATGGGTCACGGGTGCATGGGGGCATGGGTGGGTGAATGAGAGAGTGAATCAGCACTTTGCTGGATAAGCCACGCCAGAGCTGGTCTACTCTGCAACGAACGACCTCATGAGAGCGCCGGCTCACCCACCCAGCCTTGTCTCCTCCCTTCCTGTATTCCCCCACCCTCAACCCGCCTGCACACCTGAGCACAGGAACTTTGGGTCGATAGTGGACGTGGGGCGGGTGGAGGCGTCGATAGCGGAGATCGGCGATCTACTCTACTACTGCAACGACGTCATGAGCGCTGGAATCCCACAGCTCTCAGAGGTGGTCTCGGAGCACCTCCTCAGCAACTGGGTCTTCCCCGTGCTCCTCGCCTCGCTCTCCCCCGAGTCTGGCTCGCCCAATGTAAGTGTGGCTCATGTGTTTCAGTCCATGCATTCAGTTTTGCTCACGCTCTCTGCACAAAGGGGTATACACCGCCAATCTCCCCGAGGTTGTCTGAGAGCATCTCGTCAGCATCTGGGTCGTGCCTGCCTGTGCTCCTCCTCGCCTCACCCTCCCCCTCCCCCCTATCCCTTTCTTCCAGGCAAATCCCATCTCGCCACCATGTACTGGCTGCGCCCCATTCACTCCTCTATCTACCCTGTTTTGTGCCTCTTGTCTCCTATCCCTCTACCCCATCATCACTCAACCCCACTTTCAGGCGAAGCGCATATCACCGCTGTGCGCCATGTACCTGCTGTCGCGTGTGCTGCACGTGGTGACCTACCGCCCCTTCCTTGACACCGCCACCTGCTCCATCGCCGCCTCCCTCTCCGCCAGCCCTGCTCTCGTCTCCCTTATCCCTTCAACCCCTCTCTTGAGCAGGAATGCACATCCCTCCCGCTCGCCCATAGATCTGATTTACCGTCACCGTACTTTTCCCCTGCATCCCATCCCATCCCTTCCTGCTCAATTTTCCCACTTTCAGGCGAAGCGCATATCACCGCTGTGCGCCATGTACCTGCTGTCGCGTGTGCTGCATGTGGTGACCTACCGCCCCTTCCTCGACACCGCCACTCGCTCCATCGCCGCCTCCCTCTCCGCCAGCCCTGCTGGCTCCGACGGGGTGCTGCCTCAGCTGTATGAGTTCCAGCAGCAGCAGGGCAAACCGCAGGAGAAGCAGCAGGAGAAGCAGCAGGAGAAACGGCAGGAGAAGCAGCATGTGAGGAGGAGCAGAAGCGCATCGAGCTCTGCGGATTTTGGGGTTCAGGATAGCGAGTTTGGTGTAGGGAAAGGGAGGGAAGGAGCTTCTGGTGGCGCTGGTGGTGCGGCAGCAGCATTGGTAGGAGCAGCGGCTGCAGCGGCAGGCACAGCAACAGCAGGTCACAGGTTGTCTGATACCCATCACCTCTCTGCAAGGCCTCCGGTCCCCCCTCCTGCTCACCTTACAACCACTGCTTCTGCTTCTGGTGCACAAGGCATAGTCTCCCCACCTTCTGCAGCAGCAGCAGAGAGGAGGGATGGAGACGCGAGTGCAGGAGGAGTGGCAGAAAGGGGAGAATCCTCAGCAGTAGACAGGGCAGAAGGGAAGAAGGCCAAGTGGCCGCTGGCAGCAAGACCTGGAATTGCGGACTCGCCTAAGGGTTCCTTCTCAGAGAGTCTGGAAGGGCGGGAGGGCAGAGATGGGGGCAGTGAGGAAGCAGGGGAGAGAGGAGGGGAGAGAACAGGGGACGGCAGGGAAGATGTAGCGGCAGCAGATGCGCCGAATGGGTATGTTCCTGGAAGAGAGGAGCAGAAAGCAAGCAGGGGGAAGATAAGAATCGTGGGGAGGATGGAATCGCAGTGGTGGTACGAGCGGTGTTGTGCGGTCAGCATCGGCACGAGACAGGCCGGCTCTGTCGGCGCGCAGGCACCTCAGGACCCAGAGCAGCGGCAGCAGCAGGAGCCTTACCGACTCGCCCCAGCGCATCAAGAGCTCAGACTCCCCACAGCAAATGAAGAGCTTGGACTCTCCGCAGCTGAATGAGAGCTCGGATGCGGTTCAGAGGAGCTTCAGCTCGCCCCTCAGGAGCTCCCCGTACAGGAAGCAGCGCCATGCGTCTGACACCATTATCCTGGACCTCGACCCCACTGCCAGCGCCTGGTATGTTCTTCTGTTCCCCTAGTAGTGAGGCGGTTTTGAGGCGCCTCAAAACGCCCTCAGGAGCTCGTCGTACAGGAAGCAGCGCCATGCCTCTGACACCGTCATCCTGGACCTCGACCCCACCGCCAGCGCTTGGTACGTTCTCTTTCCCTACTTCCTCGTGTTTCGAGTCGAGTCAAAGCTCCCCTCAGAGCTCATCGTACAGGAAGCAGCGCCATGCGTCTGGCACCATCATTCACTCTCGACCTCGACCCCACTGCCAGTGCCTGGTACGTTTCTTGAGGCGCCTTCAAAGCAGGAACTATTATTCTGGCGCCTCAATGACAGGGAGCAGCACCATTCAATGACTTTCCAGAATCCATCATTTTGGACCTCGACCCCACAGAGCTAGCGCTTGGTGCAGTATGTTCCCTTACTGCCTCCTTTGCTGCCCCGCTTCGTCATCTGCTCCTCCACCCCCTCCTCTGTTCCTCCACCCCCTCCTCTGCTCCCCTCTGGCTCCTCCCACCCCCCCAAACTGCTGCACTGCTGGTACGCATCCTCCCTCTCC